TTTGAAAGGAGGACATAAATAACAAATGACTAGAAGGTAGCTGTAGTTTAACATGAAAAGAACCTTTTAAGCTTTGCTCAGATAAATGTATAACAACATTTATTTAGGGAGGTGATCCTGCCCCTCTACTCAGCCCTAGTGAGGTCGCATCTGGAGTATTGTGTCCAGTTTTGGGCCCCACAGTACAAGAGGGATGTGGAGCTGCTGGAGAGAGTCCAGTGCAGGGACAAGGATGAGATCAGGGGCCTGGAACATCTGCCCTATGAGGAGAGGCTGAGGGAGCTGGGCCTGTTCAGCCTGGAGAAGAGAAGGCTGAGAGGGGATCTAATCAGTGTATACAAATACCTCAAGGGAGGGAGTGCAGAGGATGGTGCTGGTCTCTTTTCAGTGGTGGCCTAGAGGACTAGAGGAAATGGCTGGAAACTGAAGCACCAGAAGTTCCACAGGAACTTAAGGAAAAATTTCTTGACAGTGAGGGTGACAGAGCACTGGAACAGGCTGCCCAGAGAGGTTGTGGAGTCTCCTTCTCTGGAGATCTTCAAAACCCGCTTGGACGCAGTCCTGTGCCACGTGCTCTAGGTGCCCTGCGTGTGCAGGGGGGTTGGACTGGATGATCTCTAGAGGTCCCTTCCAACCCTAAGCATTCTATGATTCTATGATTCTATGATAATAAACTTTGCATTTGTAGGGAGAATCACATTCAGTGACATGCATTACTTCTCAGGACGTAAACGTAATAGCTCACAACATCACAGTACCTTTGTTATAGCTGGCAAACATATACAGAAAAGTTAATAATCAGACACGCATTTGAAGGGTGGAAGCATCCTCCTCTGCCCTTAGACATCTACATCATACATGTTTGTATCTAAGCTAGGTCAGCTCCAGCTCCTTTCACAATCAGAAAAATAACATAGACTGAACTATCATTTTCATATTTCAATATCTAGTGTCTGCTATTATACATGTTACTATAAGCTATGTAATATATAGAATTCATTATTCTACCATCTGCTTTGGGACGAAGTTATATGCACTTAAAAGCACTGTTTTTTCCTCTTAACTCTGACTGGATTCTAGACAGCTGGGGCATACAGATGTATGTATCTGCACTCAGTCAGATGAAATCCACTCCCAATATCTGAAAATAGCTGCAGCATGCTCACAGGTTGATTTTATCTCCTGTGTGTGGGTACAATTAACCATCATCAAATTTTCAGGCAATTTGAATTTGCAATTCATTAAAAAAAAAACTAAAGACTAGCCAGGCATGGTGTCTGAACTAGTGAGTCTTCGTTTCACTTGCTCCAAGTTAGGCTGCTCTGCTATGTGCAGCCTCCAGACCTATAGCTCGTTCCTCCTCCTGTTGATAGCGATAGTTGGTCACATGAACCACATCTTGTTTTCATTCTGAGACCTCTGTTCTAAACTCTCACCACACTTACCGTTTATCTGCAACAGTGAGACTTAATGAACTAAATTAAAGAATATCACAAAAGTTAGAGTGTTTAAAATACCTTTTTCCTTTTCACTGTATCGGCTTATGTTACTGTTGTCACTATACAAAGGGCCAGCAGTTGCATGGGGCTTGCAGCTGTGATACTGAGCATTGAGGGTATTGACTGTGATGTGGATTAGGTGAAGTACAATCTTGCTGATTTCACAGTCTCTGTAGGGGTACTGTTCAGTGAAAGAGAAGAACTTCAGCTTAAAAACTAACTTTGGATAAACATTTAGGCAGTAAAAGAGAAAAATGACAAGAATATTGTCAGCTGGATGCCCTTTGCCTTACTTTGATCTTACATTTCTAAACACATCGTGAGAAGCAGGACTGTTTCCAGCTTCGTACAGATGCTTATTACATAGTTTCCTTGTCTTTTTAATTACAAAACCAATTATTAATAGTTATTGGAAAAGGTTATATCAGAACTGATCTCCAAATACTGTTTCAATCTACATATTAACATTTACTACCAGTGTTTCTACTTCCTTGCACAGCCTATATGCCAGCCAGAACTTTGTTAAACATTTCAAAAGAATTCACATCATCTTTGCATGTAAATACATGGTATTGTAATAACACTCTCTAAAAGCAGCACTTAGCTAAGGAATACAGATGTTAAGCTGACCCACCCTATTTAAAGGTTTTTCAACTTTTTTAAATCAGTTCTAAGTTACACAGAACACTATCTATGACCTTTTCTGTCTATCAGTCTTTGGAACTTTATACAGTATTTTCCCATTTTCAAATACATATTTTTCTTTCTCAGATAATTGAATGAAAGACAACAACAGATAGCAAGAAGAACATGTCACTAGCACAGATGAAAGTGTAAACTACTCCAGACAAATTAAATACATACAGTAAGAAAATCAAAAAAGAGAAAGTCTTTGTAGTGCCTTTCATTTGCAGTAATTTGGGTGCTCTATCTCTAATAAATTTCACTTTGAAGTGTGAATTAGAAGGCGAATGGCATCTTTTTAAAGCCACTCACCTTATATAGAATGACAAGTAAAGCCTTTAACCACATCTGCCGAATGTGAGGCTTGAGGGGCCAAAGGGAGCAGCGAGGAGGCTGCTGAAAGTAATGCCTTAGCTGAGGGCAAGTGCAGTATTTCAACACCTGCACCACCAAGGGAAGAAGGTGCTTTCCAAGGTTGATGTTATAGTCCATCACCTGAAAAGAACAGTAACACAGGAGTTAGTCCACAGTGCTGACACCGAAAGGCAAAGTATCTAACACAGTTTAGATGTTAGTTAAGTGAAAATAAGCCTATTTTTAAGGCAGTCTCACTATTAAGTAGAAACCTGCCTGCTTGCCAGTTTGTAACAAGCGCGCTGCATGTGTTCCTTCCTAGTGAAACTGTTGGTTTGATACTTACCATTGCAAAAAGACACACCTGACAGTATCTGCAAGCTCCATCCCAGAAGACCTACACAAAAGGTAGGCATCAACACTAATTCCAAAGCCTTTTCAAAGGTCTTTCTGGGAGTGAATTCAGCCAGGCACAACTGTCTGAAATGTACACAACTGCCAATCTGCAAACATACCCAAGCAGGGTGCACAGAGGGGCCCAGCTGATGGAACTCTGCAGTTCAGTTGTGCAAAAGCTAAGCAGAGTGAAAAGGGGGCTCTTGCAAGGCAACAAACTAACTAAACTGACTGTTTCATGGCTTCTTGTAACCATACAAACAGTAACTGTTGAACTGTAAACAAAATATAGGCATATTTCTCATTTAAATACTCTCCTTGTATTGAAATCTTTCAGTACCTTTTATTCCACGACAGAATTATTATTCAAATCATTTTATATCAATTCTATATTTGAAAGTTAATGTACTTCACATGGCCACTGCCAATTACGAAAAGGGAAAATAGGTTCACACATTAGTTCTGTGACTTAAAAAAACTACTCTTTGGCACCTACTCAATCCTATAAAACACTTCTCAAAACTGTTTTGTGCTATGAAATTAAACAATGCTTAGAAAAGTCATATTTTAGATAGACATTCAAAATGAAGCAGAAGAAGATGTGCTCTAAAAAGTGTTTTGTCTGGCACAATCTGTATTGCCACATTGATTGGAACATCTGCATAATAAATTCTGCTCGAATAGCATTGTATTATAGCATAGTTTGATCACGCCTCAATAGACAAAACCATATTATAGTATATCCCATATTTAATAAGCATAAACAATTGTGAGACTTTGAAAATTAATTATCACTTCCGATTCTCATTAATTTCTCACCCATCTTGCAACATTAGCTGTTTTTTCTTAAGCCACATATTCTGGAATCATGTAATCAGCCAAGAAGCCAACTCTTTATTCTAGTAAACGTAATCACGTTGAGAGAAGATAAGAAGTTGTGAGGAAAGCCTAAACATTTAACTCCTGAAGGACCAATAAATAAAGCTAATAAAATATATGCAGGCCTAGAACATGTTCTTCACGGTGATGTTGCTACAGCCAGGTTGCTCTTGGCTAGCCATAAGCCCTGCCTCCGTCATGAAATTGGAAGAGCAACATCCCACTTGGTGCCTATGTCACAGGCTTCAGTCCTGCCATTTACCTAGAGTGTAGGCATAAATTCTCACTGACGTGACACAGCTGGGTTTTCTATTGACACTGCATTGCTAATTTTCATTATTTGATGACTAGAGATTACATGATATCCAGAGGGATGTAACAGCAGAGGTATCAAACAGCAGCGCATCTCCTAAAATCCATCACCTCCCATGATTTTCAGTTTGAATGCACTTCGTACTTGATCAGGAGCCCTGTAGATCTAAGTGGACACAAACACAGCTTTTCATCCACATCATCCATTTCCTTCCCAGCTGTATACCTCCTTTTGGATTTTTGTTAGAACATGGGGACAAGCCTAATTTGCAAACTCAAAATGCATCCTTCCTGAACAGGCTGATAAAGAATTTCACAGAGAAAAAACTAGTTCAGTGTGCAACTGTCTCAGATTTTCCTGCTGTGTGCACAGAGGTAAAGAGATGAATCCCGTGCCTATCCCTGTAGGGTTGCCCTGTTGATCAGATGGCTCATCCCCACTAACACGGCCCTGCCATACAATACCCTGTGCCCGCAGGCTGAGCTGTGGTTACACAGGTGGTTCCAAGTCACCCACACAAGGGACACAGAGCCCTGCCTTTACACAGTGCATCCTGTAATGCAGACACACCTTCAGCTGAGTAGAAACATTTGTTAAAATGTCGTAGGCAGATGGGGAAGAAATGAGCTATAAAACATGAGCAGAACTCAGCCTGGGATCTGGAACAGAGCACTGCACTAGTAGGTTCTCCCTCAGACAGGACTGTACAATATTGCCACCACGTGGGGCAATAATGAACTGACTTCAAGCAGCAAAACATTTATACATATATTGCTAAAAAAGAAAAAAAAAAGTCAGCTATCCTTTCAAAAATTCAAATACTCAGATTTTATGACGTGAAATGTAAACAGAAGTTTTTGATAATGTTTTCTTGAACAGATCATTACAAGTTTGCAATTAAAATCAAAGGACCAGCTAGTTAGTCCAGCCCCAATGTTTGCAGAGCTAACAGTGGAAAGCAGCTAGATATGACCCGGGGGAGGCACAGGGGGTTGGAATTGTTATCTTCATTACAACGAGAGTGTAATGACACGTAACATTACAGGAAACGTAAGGGCAGCTTTGAGCAATGTTTGAACTTTACAACAAGTATTTTAAGAGTCTGGCAGGTATCTAAAGTAATAATACTCTCTTCTCTCCCACTGTAATCCTATGGGATACTGCAGTGAGGAGAAAGTGGAATTATTGAATTGATGAAGCTTCTTCATCATGAACAATAAGTATTCTGTGCAATGTTTTTCAGCATCACAAAAAAAGGCTCTTTCAGTAAGAATCAAGCCTCAAAAAATGCTTGTGGTATAAAAAAAACCTGACATCCTTAATTTAAAGGAGGAGAAAGAAGGTACAAGGCAAGTGCCCAAAGCCATTTATCACAGCTCTATACATTTTACAAAACAGGTATCACTCACTAAGAAAGGGAAAAAAGAAATTCCTGGTACGGTCTAAGGAATGAGGACAGTGAGTTTCCTGCAAAGTGAGGGATGTCAGAAAGCTTACAGATTATTCACAAAGGAAAGAGGCAAGGGGCCAGGATCCCCAGGTATTTTCTGCCCTCTTCATCCTGTCATTTCAAACTGCAAACTTGGCCATTTCCAACAGCCATCCAACCGCCATCTCAAGCACAGGTAAAGAGAAAGAGCTGCAAAAGGCAGTAAGGGCCTTCACCTACTTGTGCTATTCCGGCGATAAAGGCATTAAAGCACGTTGAA